AAATGCATAAATCATCAAAGGAATCGTGTAAAATTAGCTGAAGAAATACTGACAAATCTACAGTATAGTCCAAAATTATTATTATTTAGGTTTGAAGTAACCTTTTACGTTTCTTCTGTCTCAAAGTAACTAAAAGTCTTTTGAGTGGCCTAGTTAAAGGAGAGGTATCATGTCAAATTTAGTTTTTTGAGCTTTACATTATGTTATATTATTTCCTCACCAAAAAAATACTTAGTGTTGCTTTGGTTCTTTCATGCATGTTTAAGAAATTCTTTAATCTCCATGGCAACCATTCAACTGACCTTTGAGGTGCAGCTCCTTCTTCTGCCTCACAGAGAACTCCTCACCCACAACTCCCTCAGTCAGTTCCTTCAGACTAGCCAGCAGCAATTAGCAAACAGCTGGTGGGACTGAGCATCTGCTGAGCTCATTACAGGAGCTACTGCTCAGTGAAACGCTGGTAAAAACGTTGTTAAAGGGTCAATAGAGGAGCCATGTTGTGATGACTTCCTGAAGGTGGAGTTTTTAAAGAGAGACAGGCGCAATTTCAAGGTGTCAAACTGTGAAGTCAAATTTATTTTAAGTCATATTTGATATATACAGCAATTTTATAACATCTGAAGTTGCAAAATGGCGCTATGTGGTTGGAAAACACATATTACTGCTCCTGTGATGTGCTGAAAATAAAAGTTAATCTGTGGAAGAAGGTTAACTTTAGTGTGACGATAAGGAAATCTTCCAAACTCTTAAAGCAGCACCTTTCTCCTCACAGCCTTTCCAGTCCTGCATGCAATGGAAGAGCCGTTAACTAAATGCTAAGCACTTTCTCCTTGGAGGACTCTTCACCACAGCACAAAGTCCAGCCTGTCTTTTGTCTGATGGTTGAAGCTAGACCACGCTAACATAACATAACAAGCTTCAGCTCAATGTTAATGTCATTAACACGGGGAGACGGCCCCGGCTCGTTTTACGAGGCCGGTGGAGGAAACGCTGAGGCGGAGAGCAGTAATTAGCTGCTATCATCTGGCTTTCAGGGTCTCTCCAACAGTCAATTCGATTACTCCGTATAGCAGCAGGAGATGAATCAACGGGCTACATGAGAAAAGGATGAAGCTCAGCAGAAAGGAACAGCACGGTGAGGAAGAATAGAAATGACTTGGGTCTTGCTCACTCTTCCCCTATCTGGACCGTCTTATCTGCCCTCGTGCCCCTGAGCCCGCCACATTTCATCCCTAATGAACAACCCCCATAAAAAAAGGGAGTTCGATTTCTCTCCGTTCCTTTCTATCTCTCAGGCTCCGTCTTTTCTCTCCCTCTGTGCAAGATGCCCGTCTATCATTCGCCGAGCCGCGGCAGAGCGTCCGATCTGCAGATCTCCTTCACATTAAGGATCCTATTAGATAGAGAACCCTAAAAGGTAATTGGATTTGGCCCTAGTTATCTTCATCTCTGTTTCACCCTGAGCCCACTGTAATAACTTACTCTCAGGGCCAAAGATAACTCAATTCTGGTCCGCAGAGAGCGAGGAGAGTGTGAGGAGGAGACGGGCGAGAGGCGGCGAGGAAGAGAGGAGAAAAGCATATGTTAGGTCTCCGAGGCAAAACAGAGTCTAAATCAAAAGGCCCCTCTATCACCGCCTTCAAGGATATGGAATCTGACAACAAACATAAATTTGTTTTAATGTTTTGAATTATTTTCTTTGTGAAATGTGTTGCTTGTTGTGTAACATCTGGCTCTCTGGCGCGCCGTCGTCCGAGGCCGCATCACTTCCTGTGCAGCAGGAGGAACGTCCGCCGGCGAGGCCGAGTTGAAAGGCAAGAAACGTAATAACAGAGTCTGTGTTTCTGCAACGCGTTTACAGAGACAATGCTTTTAAAAGTGCGACATAGCTGAAATTTATTTTGAAACCCTTCCACCTCCACCCTCAGTGGGATTGGGGGTGGGGGGGATTCATTGGCCTGTTATTTTTATTGTGGCAGTGCAAAATGAAAGCGTTGGCTCCGGCAGGCTCAAACACAGCCTGTATGGAGGCAAAAATCAATACGGCAATAACCCAGCAAGACTTATCAGCGGCTCACTTCTCCTCAGAGGTCACAGAGGAGCAACTGCTTTTAAGTGGGGAATTCAATTGTGAAACATAGTTTGGGACAAGCTCTGCCGGGTATCTGATTAGGGATGAAACACTGAGCTAAAACTTACAACCCAACATAAAAAAAGGGAGAAAATATATGAACTTCTTTCAGTTTTATGATGCAGCTTTAGAGCAACAAACACAACAGAAGTTTTTGGACTGGATTGCTTTCAGGTCCATCTTCAAATATGCCTGAACAGCAGAAGTGGACACAACATCAGACCTTCTAAGACCACAACCAAGCCTTCCAAGATCAAGACCAAGAACGGGCCTTCTGAAACCAAGACCAGTCCTTCTGAAACCAAGACCAGTCCTTCTGAAACCAAGACCAGTCCTTCTGAAACCAAGACCAGTCCTTCTGAAACCATGGCCAAACCTTCCAATACCAAAGTATTGGAAAGTATTAATATCGGAAGACTTGGGAAGTCTAGAAAGACCGGACATCCAAGACCAAGACCAGTCCTTCTGAGACCAAGATTAAACCTTCCACAACCCAAGCCTTCTGAGACCAAAACCAGACCTTCGCTTCTATCAGACTCTAGTGACAGCTCAAGGGGGGCAATAATTGTCTTGATGTACAATTAACTGCTAATACCATTATTACGTCCGTCTCCCTCTCAAACACCCAGTGTGATGTCGCCTCTGCCGCTGAGATAAATGATTCATCATTTTGACGTTCTTACTTCTGCTATTAAAGACAGTTCAGAGTTGGTGAAAGCTTCAGAGAGAAATATTAGAAACCAGACCTCACACTCCATGCATGTCTAAACCTTTCTAAAAACCTGAGATTTGTTCCTTTTTCTAACCCTCCTGTGAGAAATTTAAATCCAAGGCCTACAGGAGCTCTAGGAACATTGATTGATGCTAGATGCCTCTTCCCAGACTGATGAGCAGCAACAGCTGCTTCTCTTGGCATTGTGTAAACAACTTTCTTCTCCATAGTAACCCATACTTTTACAGACTAACACATCAACTTCATGTGATCAGCTGAGCCTGCCTGCTATGCTTCCTCTACGGTCCAATGGAAGGACTAAGGTTGTGCTTAGTTTAACCCAATACAATAATCTACTACTGACAGCAGCACTGTTCTAGGCTCAGGTGAATAACGGAGCTGAGAGTTAAACTAGGATGTGAAAGGAACAATAAGGCCAAATCAGACCGCCAGCCTCTACAGCTGCTGAGTTCAGTCTCAGGTTTTCTGTTGGGCAGGAAATGACATTTTACAGTCCTCCACTAAACAAGTACACAACCTCCATTAGTGGGAAAAATAGAGCCTGTGTTAACACTCAGAGAAATGAAGACAATGTTCTACCTGGAGCAAAGTGAAAGCTGACCTCTGAACAGAAAATGAAAGCCTTCCAGAAGCAGAGGACATCCCATAAAATTTCTACCTTTCAAGAGTTATTTTCAAGAGTTATGAGTAACTCTGATTCATCTAAAAGTGCCCTTCCCTTGAACCTTTACTGTTTTATCTTACAGTAAAAGTGGGGCAGAGGCCTGGGGTGGATGTGGTGGGTTTACCCAGACCAGAACCTCTCCACTCTGTCTGCAGCTCTTAGTTCTTGGTGAAAGGAGGTTGTCAGGGAAGGGGGTGGAGGACCATATCCCTGCCACTACCAAAATACACCCCCAGTGGGAGTATAATGGACAGGATCCCAGCAGGACAGGAAATGATGCTGGCGAGATCCAGAGAGCAGACCGGGGGTCAGGATAGAGTTGGTCCTGCAGTGTTTGTCCTGCCAGCCGGTCAGAGGAGAGGCTAGACTGCTTCCATAGCTAAATCAGCCTGTCATGAATGCATGCAAGTCCATGGTTGGGCCCGATCATGGCCGACAAACATTTTGAACATTTACTCTGATACCCGACGCTGTCAGACGTTCCAGGATACATCAAGCTGTTCTGGGACTATAGGTTTTTTCCATATTTGTTCAAACTATCACTATGTCATGACAGTGAAAGTTAGCATGTACATGAGAGTGATTGACAGCATCAAGACCCTCCTCCTGGCTCTGATTGGTTGTTTTTGTCAGGAGCGGTGCATTTCTTCAGACAGTAATAGTAGTGGGGGGAGAAAGAGGAAGAGTTAGATCTCTTCACAGATTATCCTTCTCATACTGTCAGGACATGGTGACAGTTTTAACAAATATGTAAAATAAATAAATGTGTGGTCAAACTTAACCTGTTGGCCTCAGGATGTCATTCACAATGACAGGGGTGTCAAACTCCAGTCCTCAAGGGCCGCTGTCCTGCAGTGTTTAGATGTGCCACAGGTAAAAAACAGTGGAATGAAATGGCTTAATTACCTCCTCCCTGTGTAGATCGGTTCTCCTGAGCCTTTCTAATGACCTAATTATTCTTTTCAGGTGTGGTGCAGCAGAGGCAAATCTAACAGTTGCAGGACAGAGTCCCTTGAGGACTGGAGTTTGACACCTCTGTCACGAGAGGACCCAAATTTGGGTCCTCTCGTGACAGACAGGTTAAGCAGGGTTACACTCATAAATCTGTATTCTGGATCATTTTTGATATTTTTTAAAGCCAGCCAGCTAAGCTGACATAAAGCTGGTAACTTAAGTTGCAGAACTTTAAGCACAAACTTAATTTTGCTTAAACAAGTTTATTCATAGGGCTTCTTTTGACAAATGCTAAAAACAAGGCCGTATTTTGCTCCCACTTCACATTTGTGCTCCATCTCGTCCTGGTCTATCCCATAATATTCAAGCTAAATATATCCAGGTGTGTGCTTGTAACATAAGATATAAAAACCAGTAAAAATTGGATATTTTCTGCATATTGTTTCGTCCAATTCCCCGCCGTTCTCCAGATGTAATAAATCTTCCCACAGGTGTGAATGAGAACGGCGTGAACTCACCTCAAATTCTGCATGTTTATGGATGTCTTCGGCCCGCTGTCTGCTCAGGATGAACTCGGCCTCGTTGGCGACGCGAACCAGATGGTCCTTCATCGTGTGGCTGAGAAGCCTGGGGGAAAGTGGAAACACTCATGAGTAAAGCTGTGAAAGTTCACGTCACTAAGCCTGTCGCAGTAAGCAGTAAATCAACTAATCAGATTTTCATTTAAAACAAGCTGGATGATTTCCACTTCCAAGATTTTGCAAGTGGAAATGATCTTTTCTAGTTTTATGACAAAAGTCTTGGTCTTAACCAGCTGTTTTTGTTGAAGGACAATTTTGCTTACAGAGACTTCAGTCTCCTTTTTATTTGACGTTACTGTTTTGTTTAATTATTTTGGACATTTAAATGTCTTCTCGTTCCAGTGTTAAATGTTCATCATTGTTTCAGAGGGTGTACTTGTATAATTCTACCTTTACTGTTATATAGAAAATGGTCTCAAAAAGATCTGTCACAATAACACATTTTACTGGATGATTAATTATCCAGGAAATTATTGCGATAAACAGCAATATTGTTGTTTTGAGATCATTTTCAAGTGCTATAGTGACAATGGCATAACATAAATTTACACTCAAATATAAATGAACTTTAATTTTGTAAAACACTTAACTCTGGAAGTGGAGGATATTTTAAATATCCCCAAAAGTAAACAAAAAGATCAAAAACAATAAAATGGAAATAAAAACCCACACACAACCAATACCAGAAATCAAATGGATTATAAAGTCTCTAAACAAAATTTCCGATGAAAAAATATCAATAGAATGAAAGTTATCAAGTATCTTTTAGTTCATCATGCGATTGATTTATTGCTTATTGTGACAGACAGTCTCAAAAACAACAATATTATTGTTTATCGCAATAACTTCTGGGACAATTTATCGTCCATCAAAGTCTGTTATTGCAACATGCCCACACATTCCAAGTGTCTAAGAAGGAGTTGCTGGGGAAAAACATGTGCTATCTTGGGCATCAGAGTATTTACAAGTTTACTTCCTGATCTGAGCCGAACAAGCAGGGAGGTAACATCCATGAAATGTTCAGAAAGGAGCGTGCAGAATGAGCAGAAAATCTCATTTGGAAGGCGGCGTGCCGTGCCACGCCGCGCCGCTAATTGATTCATTAATGATATGCATCTCTGACAAGAGGGAGGATCTCCGGCCGTGTTGCTACATGTGTTCTCTACCGGGCTCCCCTTAGCGGCGCTGATGAAACCCGCATGTGATGTGTGAACGCGCCAGCATGCGGGTCAGGGGAAACTCTGCACAGGTCAGATCTGAGCAAAGTGGAACAATAACAGAGCAGAGGACAGGGAGGAGAGCTGGAGGGCAGACTGGATGGACCAAGGGGGAGGGAGCTCAACAGCTAGAGGACGACTGTAACCTAAGCCTGCTGTTTCAGCACCATGCAGCAGGGGCCCCGGGGCCCCCTTCACCTCCATAACCTGTGTGGCAGTACTCGGGCCTCGCCATCAATAACCACAGCAACTGACCTCCTTTATGGAGCTTGGAGCTAATGCTCGCAACATGTGGGTGCCGTCTGAAGATGGACTCGTTTTTAAAAAGATACACCAATAAAACAGCCTGAAATTAAAAAGATTTATTACAAAATAGATTCTGGATAAGTGCTCATCTTCTCCGACTCCCGTCTTCACTAGCAGTGCATGTGTGTCTGATCACTAGAGAGTACATTTAGTTTGTTTTGTTTCCAGCTTTAGTTTCTGTTCCTTATTGCCAAACTTTGACTGGAGCACGGATGCAGTTTGCTAGTGGTGTTCTGCAGCTGCATTTATACAGAAAAGATTTGACCAAAATGAAGAAAAAGAAAAAAGTTTTAAAGTTACTGTATTAAAGGTGTGTACATCAGAGTGACTGACAGCGCCAAGATCCTCCTCTTGGCTCCGATTGGTTGTTATTGACCAGGAGCGGTGAATGTCTGCATACTGTAATAGTAACTCAGGAAGGAGGCGTTTATATTTTTCACGTTTTGTTCTATAGTTTTAACAAATATTCAGAAAACATTCTCTTAAGTTACATACTGTAGCTTTAAGAATAAAAATTAAACACTAAAGAGACTCAAAAGAAGATGGCAGTCGAACAACATCATCTCTGCAGATTAAGTGTTTACCGACAATGAAGGCTCAATGAGTCGCATAAAGAAATACTCTCCAGCTTTCAGTGACGTTGGGTGTGTGTTGAATTGTGGCAGGTGTGTTGATTAAACTGAGGGTCTGTATAGTTCATCAAATCTGTAATTTCATTTAAAATGTGGCTCCAAATGATCAGAAAAACTGACATCATTGACAAAAAAAACTCTCACCATATTGACCAAGCAGACTCATTTCTCCCTTTCTCAGTTTTTATACTTTGTTTCAACATTAAAATCAAGATTAGCTCTGGGTATAATTTTGCTTGTAGAAGTGGAAAACATTATGACCTGAGCAGAATTTGGTGCCACCTGATAAAAATATGTGAATTTTCCTAAATTTAAGAAATGTTTGTAACAGACTCCAGTTCTTACGCCTGTTGGGAAACACCTTTTTTTTTCCGTTGGTGCCACTGCATTTAATTTCAAAACAATTTCTACTGAGATAATTGTGTAATAAATAAAATAAATAAATAAATAAATAAATAAATAAATAAATAAATAAATAAATAAATAAATAAATAAATAAGCAATCAAAATTTGTTTCCATAACTGAGCAGAATTAAAGGCTTTTCTTTTCACTGACCTGATGCAGTTGTATTAATAAACTGTTTAAATGATTTTTTTTTTAACTTAAAATGACAAAGATCATCAGCAGCAAAAAAGACAATATACTTAAAATAATTTAGGCTGGATGACCAGACACTTTGTGGTTCAGATTTACACTAAAAAACTTTACATGACCGAGAACTTAAAAGATCACAATTATGAAACCAGAAAGTTGTAAAGGATAAATATAAGGAATTTAATTTACAGACTGACTGGGTTTAGCTTTACCTGTAAGGTAAGCAACACAGACCAGTAATCACCACCTCAGAGTGGATAACAGCAAACCCATTAGAGTAAATCACAGCCCCTCATTGGCCATGTCCAAGCACTGTCCTGGTTATCTAGCTGGATTAAATTAGGATTAAGACCTGCCAACTGGAAATGTGGCAGAAAGGGAGAGAGAAACCGTCCGTAAAGGAAGGAGGGTTATTTATTTATTTATTTGAAAAGGATGGAACAAAAATCATGATGCTAGAGGCAAATAACAGAAGACGTTTAGACAGAAGAAATTATTACAAAGAGATAAAGGCTGAGAAAGAAAGGCGTAAAGTGACAGATGGACAGTCAAGAAATCAGGAGTGATTTCCCCTGGTGTCACTGAGGAACCAGCAATCAGAGCTGCTGTCACCTTCTGCCTAACCTCTCTGCCCACCCCCCTCTGATCCCAGTGGGATGAGCAGGTATTGAATGGAGCCTTGAACTCACCGCTCCTCCTAAAACACCTAAAGCCTCCTTGCTCTCTCAGATCATTGATTGTTGTGCAGAGCCCTGAACAGCCACACCATCGGGGCAGGGGTCTCTGGGGGCCCGATGGGCGACGGGGCCGGATCTCCACCAGTCAGTGGGACGAGACAACGGGGAGGAAAACCCCCTCAGGTGGAGGTGAGGTGACCTACCTGCCTTCGTTGACCAACTCGATGAAGGCCAGTCCAGCATTCTTCTGGATGGAGTTCTGCCATTCCTGCAAGCCAACAAAACAGGTCATAAATACCAGCAAGAAAACCCCCAAAGATTAAAAACACAGTTGTTTGCTTTTCTTGACTCAATATGGGACAGGTCTGTGTCGTCAGGTTGAAAACATGCGTACAAAACGACCAGCAGCATCAGGGTTTTGTTCAAAATGATCCATCACTGTTGTCCCATTAGAGTTACATTTACTTGAATCATTTTTTGGAATAAAATGTACTTTTAGAAGTATTTTTACTAAGCTATATGTTCTACTTTTACATGAGTAAAAGTAAGTCTTAATTGAGAAAACATTTTTGTATTCTCTATCCAATATGAGGAACTTCACTGAATGAAAAGCAAGCTTGTTTTAAGCAGGAGTTCAGACACAGACACACACTTGCAGTTTTAGATAAAGTTCCACAAGATTTACAATGAAAGAAATTTATTTGGAAAATGTTTCTTTTGAACTGATTTTGTAATTTTGTAATGTTATTTATACGAATTATTTTTATTGTGGTATTTAAAATGTCAAAATTTCCACATAACTTTAGGCTATGGTGATGATGTAATTTTTAAATATTAAATGGATCAGTTCAGTAGCTTTTTTACCAAATGCTTTTGTACTCTTTAGTTATTTCACCAATGAACTCTTTGGGTTTTACAGCTTTTATGTAGTTAACTGAATTCAGGTCGACACTCAGAAGGAATGACATCAATGAAATAAATGACAGTTTATATATTATGTTCAGTTATTTGTGTTTCTTTTAAGGGAAAAAAGCAAAGTGGAAAAATTTTTATTAAAATAGAAAAATAAATGTTCAATAAAATGAAAAATATATATATTTTAAGCCACATCACACATCTCTGATTTCTAGAACCTTTTACAACAGAAAAGAAACAACTTGTGGAGGCACTGTGCTGCTTCCATTTCATGCCCAAAACATCTAAACCACCAAATATCAAATTATTTTGTTGAAGGGGCAGTACTATGCAAAACCATGATACCATGATATAAAGTTATTCCCTCATCAAAAACATACTTGGAGTGTTGCTTTGATTCTTTCATGCATGTTTGAAAAATCTAATACCCCATGGCAAACATTCTTAGGTGCCTACATGCTTGCTCTTACAAAGCTCCGCCTATTATCACAAAGCTCCGCCTATTACCACGGTTGGAGCTGCAGTCTCCAGCCGTGCTTTTGCCTCACAGAGCTCCTCTAGACTAGCAGCAGCAGCTTTTGGCAAACAGTGGTGGAATTGGAGGAAAATTAAAGGAACTACTTCTCAGGCCTCCACTCCTAAGAACAGCTGTAAAGCATATAATGGAGTTCGAAACAGTAGAAGCTCAGCACAACTCCAGGTGACTTTAGTTAGATATCAAAATACAACAAGACATACCTAAAGGAGAACGTGTCCTTGGATTCAACTTTTATCTCAACACAGGTCGGAAACACAACTTTAAAGACTTTCGAGCTTCAGTCCCCGAATGCACAGACATGGGTGAGCAAGCCACTGCTAGTCATGTTAAAAGCGCATTTATCACAAGTAAGCCTCACAAATTTCTCTGACTAACGTTATGGTTGAAGGTGTCAGTCTAAACAATCTGACCACGGCCCGGGCCGAGAAGGGGACAAAGAGCGGGGGAAAGTCGGCGGCCACCGTCTCTCTCGTGCTCTGTTCAATATTTCAACACCTTAAACGCAAGCGTCAAAAGAATAATAAAGCAACAAGGTCAGGGGTCCTGTCTGAACCTCAAAGCACTTCTCCCCCTCTTCCTCTCTGGGGACGCGGGGAAATATGTGCAAAAATATTTCAGCTTGGAGTCAAAAACTACAAAGCCACATAAATTAGAACCTCAATCACTAAATGTCTGCATTTAAAAAAAAAAAAAAAAAAGTTTTTTCTGACAATGAGAAAACTTTCACAGATATGTACATATTTTTTTATCATGTTAGAAAAATATTTAAGTGGCAAAAGGATGTATATGAGAATGATTTAAAGCTAGCTGTCAACATCTCCTGAGCTGATAGAGGAAACGGAGTGTTTATGTAGAGGCTAGCTTGTCAGTAAACCTAGAGATCCCACAGGGAGGAGCATATCAGCGCCGCAAGAAACAAGGAAAGATCCATTTACAAGATTTTCCTTACGCCCATCCAAACATATTTGTACACGTGACGCATTCGAGAAACCGTATAGCTTTTTCCCCTCCTCCTCCTCGGCACAACAAGTACAGAACCATCGAAAGCGATCGGCGTCAGGGGAAGCATTTCTCCAAAAACTTTCTGCTCACCGTCACTCTGGAAGCATCACACTTAACCTCTGCTCAGAACCGCTTTCTGTCCCGCGCCAGCGTATTGGCATTGACCGTGTTTACAACGCTTTCCAAATAAAAGAGGGCACAGAGGGAATAGAAGTCTGGGCCTGAGAGACGGGAGCCGGCGTGGAGGACTGGCAGACACCGTGGAGGAGGGAGCTTGTGAGGAGCAGCCGAGGGGCTTTAGCTGGAGCGCGGACATTAACCATGAGCAGAAACTAGAGGGGGAAGGAGGGGGGAGGGTGAGCTCGTTCTGAACCAGGCCAGACCCGGTGAACCAGGTTTCAAATAAACTCAGCAGGAAGCAAGGCAGTGAATAGAGTTGGAACCCGTGCCGTCGGATGCATCAGTCAGACTTTAAAAGAGCAACACTGATTTTTATCGGTGCACCGATTGTAGTTGTAAGGCAGATCGCATATTACCGATCTTTAAAAAGCCTGACCTGCCGATTCAGATTTTGGGCGACAGAGTTTTTTTTTTTCCTTCCTGAAAAGTTTCTAAATATAGCAAAAGTTGCTGAGTTGCTTTCTCACAGCAGAGCAACAGAGGACAGTGGTTGGTTTCTAGACCTTTGATGAAGTAGATGAGATACATGGATAAAATCGGCTTCATATGGAGCATCGGGCGATCATCGATCTCCCAAAATTAAAGAAATTGGGGCCAATTTATCGGTGAACCCAAGGGGGGATCTGCCAATTGGACTCTTAAAAAAATGTTAATTCAACAACTAAATACAACAAACCACCCAGGGAAAAAAGCTGCAGGCTGCATCATAATTTAAATTAACCCTTGTAAGTGGAAATGAGGTCCAACCGACCCCACACATGTAAAACTTGTATCATTTGCCATAGTCATCTACGTTTGCCTCAGTCCTCGCACGCACAAGGGTTAAATAAAAGAGAATATGAGGGTATTAAAGACTGATGCCTCACTAAAGTATTCAAGATCCTCACATTTTCTCATTCCAACCCCAAACTTCAATGTTTTACAATATTTCATGTGACAGACCAAACAAAGTAGAAGATAACAGTGATTTGGAAGGACAATAGCTTCCTTTAATATTAAATGACTAAAAATGACCTCGTATTCACCCCCCTCAGATTGGGTACGGTGCCTCTGAACGTTAAAATTCAAGTCTTACCAGGTTGTAAAATGTATTCAGGTCTGGGCTTTAACTGGGCCATTTGTCCACTGAGCACACTCCTACCTAATCCACTCCACTCTGCTTTTCATTGTTGATCTTCTTGTGTCTTTCTTTTAATTTAGTGGAATATTCATGTGTCCATGTCTTGGCAGGTTTGCAGTTGTCCTCTATACAGTCCCACATTTCAGTAGGATACAATAAACAGTTCAAAGTGGAGCTTTCAGAGCTAGGAAAGGTTTTCTCCAAAATAACCATATTTTGTTGTGTTTTTTGGCCTTCATGATGCCGTTTGTTCACTTCTCTGATGAACCGCTGAGGAATCCAGAGAGCTGCTGGATTCAGACTAAATTACACACAGGTGGACTCTGTCTGCTAATTGGGTGAGTTCTGAAAGCAATTAAGTGCGAAATGTGAAAAAGTTCAAGGGGTATGAATACTGCTGCAACGCATGGAGAGTCCTCTCACTGATGTTTTCTGAAAAAGTACAACAGAAAAACACCGTATGACCTGCCGAACACAAGTCAATAACGAGAAAAATGGCAACTAAAGGTGGGGTCAAGAAAAAAATCTTAAGATTTAGATGCAAGATAAACAGGGTCACGTTTAAACAAACCTCAAAATAATAGTAGAGTGACAGGATTAGCTCCAAACTGGGTTTGAAGAGAAGCAGAAGGGTCATTGGCATTTTGTGCAGACTGCCAAAGGTGATAGCAAGACTAATGGCGTCATTATGGGTTGAAGAACGCCTCCTACAGTCGAATTAAAAACAAGCGGTGACCCTGATCCGAGGGACATCTCCCGTTGACAAAAAAAGAAAAAAAAAAAAAAAACAGGGAAACGGGGGGACGGGTCGATGATGGGATATTGGATTTTGGCTTGGCCTGGTCAGCGATGTTGCAGCTTTTATGGCCGCGATAGGGGCTATGACCACGGCGCTCCTGATGAGAGGATACAAGCAGCCATTGGTGACCTCTCACCTCTGACCTGACCTTCAACAGAAGATAGGAACAGGGAGTGTGCTTTTCCTTGATCCTGACAGAAACATTGAGGATGTTTGAGAAAGCTCCCATGGCTAATGTTGCTGCTTTTCTTTTGACCTTTTTCTCCTTTTGTTTTTTTTGGGAGTTTTTTGCACGTAAACGACTCAAAGTCTGACTGTCGGTGTAAATGCCCGTTTAAATCTGAAGTCGATACGACAGCTCTGTTTGGTCTGCCTTCCATGATGATGGCATTGAGTCTAAACACACATGCCACGGACTTCCGTCATTACAGCTGATTATCCATAATCAACATCTAAATATACCACTTGCACTGGTGAGAAAACGCAGACCTCCCGAGCAAAATCGCCTTTCAAACATCGGCCTCACCACAACACAAGGAAAACATTTTCCAAAGCGGAGAAAGATACGTCCCCGGCTCTCCCGAAATAACAAATAAGTCAGCTGTGCTTTTTGGTGGCATCACTCATAATCACAAGTATTTGTTGATTTGAAAAGGCTCGGAGGAGTGGAGCTTTTGGACGGAACGACAAAAGCATAAATCCTCAAGCTGGATG